TACAACCGCCAGTGTGTATGCAGCTTCAGAGATATTCTACCATAGTGGTTGCGAGTTGCGTAGCGGACGACAGACTGGGGAGGCAGGAAGGGGGTAACAGCAGGATCTTTTCGCTCATGTGCGTTGCTTTGCGTAGAGGCTGAACCGCATCTAAGCGATTAAGTGAACGACGGTGACAGTGACGAGAATCAGCGACGAGCGACGGAGATTTCCCACGGTCGGTCGTCGCATCGCTCGGTTTTTGGATTTCTAGAAATCGTCGCTCATCGCCTTGGTCGCTTGCTTCCGTCGCTTTCATACGGTTTGTCTCGTCGCGCGAGTGACCGAGCGACAGCGAAGCGGATCGTCGTCGCTTTTCTTGTCGCTCGCCAAATCGCTTACATGCGGTTTATACTTAATTGCCGCTAGACTGGCACCACATGTACGGTTGGCGCATGCTTCCATATTCCCTCTCATACTGTTTATGATAGTGCATATTTTTTATTCGTGGCATTAGTTACGTACCGTTTTAGAACAGACGGGTGCGAATATATCTGCAATGGCTCTAATTTCTTATGTTTATTCTTATTTCAGATGTCTTGAGGTACTATGTTATCCACCACCGGGACCCCGACACTCCAGAAGATGTGGAAAATCTCGCCGACCGGCTGGGACTATAATGAATAATATCATGACAATTTTTTTTAAATTGTAAATATGTTTTTATGTTCATTTTTGTGGTCTGAAGTATGTGTATTTTTTGTGGAAAAAAGTGAATTTTATCCGTTTACGACCTGTGTTGTCAATATTACCAGTTTAACTGGTTTAACTGCTTGGAGTGAACCAGTATACGCAGTGGTACAGTATTACCACTATACACACTTTCAGTCAGACCTGTATGCAGTTTCACAGTAAGACCAGTAAGCACAGTTTGTTTGTCCAGTTCAACCAATTTAACCAGTGGCATTAAGCCACTGGTTACCAGTTAAACCACGATGACGAGTTCAACCACCATGACCAGTTCAACTAGTATGACCAGTTCAACCAGTATCAAACTGGTCAAACTGGAGCAATATCCAAGTTTGAACCTGGTACCATTTGAACTGGTTACCAGTTTAAACTGGTCTTTCCAATAGGGTATATATATTGCTTTCCTCTTGAGAACGTTTATTCATTTTATTTGCATTGATATTTCACAGCTCTTGGCAGTTTCTAAAACGCTCAACAGTTAGGGCTATAAGAAAGCACTATGGAAAATGCAGCACGACGCCGTATCATGTTATCGCCAAGACGCCGTGCTATCGCCGAGACGCGCCTACGCGCGAGCTCGATTCCAAGATTCATTATTGTGTTTCTTTAAAAACTTTTTGCTCAACAAATATTTATTATCCTTTATAGTGGCTATATAGAAAAGAAATTACAAAGAAAGCACTTGAAACTGCTACGTGTAAGAATGGGGAAGCATTGCTACAAGCAGCGCGCCACGTCTACAAGCAGAGGGGGAGAGCGTTCTCAGGCGGAGAACGCTCTCCCCCACTGCGCAGACGCGGCGCGCCCGCCGGCTCCACGGCTTCCGTGACGATGCACCGGCATTGCTCTTGTTTTCTTTGTGTTTTATACACGAACTCAACTCTCCTACGTCACGCCGGGGTGGTGGCGCGCTGGACGCACTTCCCGTCTGGGGCGGTGGGCAGATGTCGCCGTGCCAGACATGCATTCCTGTGTTCCCTTGGAAGAAACAACACAAAAAACCTGCCTTCTCGTCGAAATGCTGCGACGGGGGTTGTACCAAGAGAGTCTCGAAAGGTTTGAAGATCAGTTTTCATGTGTTTTTGCCCCCTCCGTTCGTCCGAGAAAGTGGATAGTAGCCGTGAAAAGGGCAAACAAGGCGCTGTCGAACTACGGTTGCTTCTGTGGGCAATACTTTGTGGTCGCCAGATGTATTTGCTTTGTTCCAACATAAACGAGAGAAAACCGCCAAGTTGTCCGAACCACCCACGGGTTCAGTGCGTCTTCAAATTCACACGGCCGCCTGATCGTTCGAACTGTCGTCTGCTCTTTCAAACGTCTGCTTTTTGTCGTCTGCTCGTTCAAACAAAAGCGGCCCGTAGACCAAACTTTGACCCGATGATTGCAATAAGAAGTAACTGCAGGCCTCAAAAGACTTAAGTAGGCTCGCTGTAAGCAGTAGATACAAGATGTTCATCATTGGTACCGGTGGCCATCACCGACTTGTTACGCTTGGTCTGTTCCCGCTTCCGATTTTCAGTATCGACGTCGATCATTGCCGCTACCTTCTACACTTTTGCAACACGAGCGACGTCGCTACCGAAAATAGCTGGAAGAATCTCATCATGGTTTTGGCGTCCATTCTGCGGCGTTCATGCGAAGGAATCGCCGCACGTCAAATTATTTACGGAAAGTTTAGCGGCGTTACGAGCCTTGATAATTTCGCTTAGGTGATTAAAGTAGTAAGACATTGCGATGAGGACGTAGAATCGACGATTCCAACGCCAAAAAGGGTATGCAGACTCACACAGACGCCGACAACGTGACATTCGAGTGGCTTGTTGACGCGGGACGCGGTGCTTCTTGCCCGTACCCCAATACGCATGCGTTCGAACTGTCGTCTGCTCTTTCAGACTTGGCTGCTTTTTGTCGTCAGCTCGTTCAAACGACAGCGGTTCGTAAACCAAATGTTGACCCGGAAATTCAGGCCGAAAAACACTTTTGAAGGTTTTTTGGGGTAAGTAGGCTAAGTGTAAACAGATACGAGAAGATGTTTATCATTATTGTTACCGGTGGCCATCACCGACTTGTAATGCCCGATTCTACTTGCGGTTTTCAGTATCCACGTCCACCATCTCAGCTACGGTCCACGGTTTTCCAGACCGAGCAACGTCGCGTCTGAAAACAGCGAGCAAAATCTCATCGTGGGAGTCAGGCTTTAGCGCCCATTCTGCGGCGTCCACGTGAAATGAATCGCCGCACGGCACATTATTCACGCAAAGTTTTGCCTCGTTAGTTTTGCTGAAGCCACTCAAGTAGTCAGACATTGTTAGGAGGACGTAGCATCAACAATTCCAACGCGAAAAAGAGCACGGGGACTCCCACCGACGCCGACAACAACGCAATTTAATGGGTTGTTTATGGGCGACGGCGGGCGTCTTGCCCACCATCCACCGCGCATGCGCGGCGCCGGTGGCGTCCGCTAGGGGTGCTCCGGTTTGTTTGTAAACATGAGTTGGTGTATAGGAAATGAAAATTTAGGTGTCGTCTCTTTGCTGCTAGAGACAACGGATACAGACGCCGACGGCTTCGCTCCATGGGCCATTTAATCCTATCGCATTAAAAATAATCCCCGTAAGGCACCTCAAATATTTTTGGCTACATTAAAAAATAATATAGAGCGTGTTTTACTTTAGCTTTAACAGCTTTTTTTTTTTTTTTCTCTAAGCAGTTGTGAAATATACACTAACGCGTTCGGTAAAGGTGAGTTAAATGGCCATGGTCCGGCGATCGGGAGAGAGAACTGTCACAATAAGACGGATAATGAACAAATATTTAACTAGCTTTTTAATTATATAAAATAAAAACACATAGTTTCAAATGAAAACTGCCTCAGCGTCATTGACAACCACTAGATAAGTAACTTTTCAAAGGATTTAGAATGCGCAGGAAGTGTTGTGGTAGGTTCCAGATACCACTTGCGCTGCAGGCGCATGGCTTGTGGTTGCAAAAAAAAACACAAAAAAAACACAACATTAAAATGAAAAAAAAAAAAAAAAAAAAACGTGAGCGCGTCGATTAATGTTGCATCTTCGGGCCCCATAATAAAAGAACCACGTGCACCTAATCTTTGTAGAATTGATTCATTTTGTTGTTTTCAATGAAGTTGTGGTGGCGTGCTCACTTTGTGAGCACGCCACCACAACTTCACGGAAGACGGACTTCTGGCCAGAAGACTCTCTGCCGTCACTTTATACATGCAGTGCCCAATCAACATCGCAGCTCCACCACTAAAAGGCCCCGCCCCGCCGGACACCTCCCAGATAAAAAAAAAATCCGAACTGCTAAATTCTCTTGCGTCACAAACGAAGGCCACGCTAGGGCAGGGATTGGAGACTACGGCGTCTGTGTTCGACTAGGAGTCATGTCCAATCAGTGAGAGCTCGACTCCTACCCGAAAGCTGACACCCTAATCGTGTCCAGTTTCTGTTCTACGGCGGCCTTCAGCCACTCAGGAAAGTTAAGCACATAGGCTTATTTGGGAGGTTTTGCTTAGAAACACTTGGCCTGCGGGTGTGAAATTGGTCTGCAGCTAAACCAATGATCTATTAAATCAGTTAAGTGGTATATTTGTAAAAACAATGCTCAAATTTCAACAAGGCTAAGTGAATTTTGGATTGAAACTTTGTGCCTATTTTCGCTTCTCCAAAAAGGTAATTAACACGTATTACCTAGTTGTCCGCTTTATCGTAACGCTCAGCTTCCTCTATAACGAACCCCCCCCCCCCCCCTTCCCCCTGGCCATAAAACTCATCCGTGCAGACCCCACGATGGTGTGTATATTTCCCGGCATTTTTTTTTTAAGAAAAATATTCAGGCTAAAATGAAACACACTGCACACTGTAGCTGAAAGATGTATAATTACTCAAACATTAAAAAATCCTTTTTATTTACACAGGCCTTGCAGACCAATGAGAATATACCGCACTCGAAAAAATCAATATGATTGCTTAAAGCAACCCCCCCCTCCTATTTAACAAAAGGAATGACTGGATCACCTTCGTTCCAGGAGTATGTGCAGGACCCCAGAACCATAATTTCATTTCCCCTGCAGTCGATCACTTTTACAAATCTTTTATAACGCTACTGTATGCTTCAGGAAAAAGATGCAATATTGTGAGTGCAGGAGAAATAATTACATTATTCTGCCTCTCAATATAGATCAAATTCTCGCTAAGGTGTTATTTGCAACAAATATACCTTTGCTATACAATGCGGTGGTGAGAAATGAATACTGTGACGTGATATTTATTTATTTATACTTGATCCTGCCGCACCCCTTAGGCCATTAGAGCAAAGAGAGAGGTAGCTAAGGAGTTAAATAATGAGCATGGTGCATATGTTACAAAAACGTGCCAAGTTCCAGTTTCTTGAAGTACGAAGGAAAGATCGTGAGTGGCAGCGTGACAAAGTTTTGGTATTGAATGAGTATCTCATATTTTTGGTGGGTCGCAGTGTAGCAGACAGAGTTTGGGAAGCACTGACGTACGCAAAACATAATTTCACAACATTTCCCAAAAACAAGATCGCAGTCTTGCTGCACTAGCGCCGAAAGCACAAAAGAGAAGTAGAAAAACAAGCGTTTTACTCGATCGAGACTTCGTATCAGGCGGACATTCCACCAGCGACCTCGACGCTCGTGGCAGTAATATAGGAGCTACCAGAGCTGCACAAATATCTGGCCACGTCGGCCACTTCCTCGGGACGAGCGAATCTCTTCAGAAGAGTTGCAGAGGAGCACTCTTTCCTTATCTCCTCGAGCATGGCCATCATGGGAGTTTCGGTTGGTCCGGGCAGTAGGGCGTTCACTCTTATGTTTGTTCCGGCCAACTCTTGGGCCAGAGACTTTGTGAATGCAATGACGCCGCCCTTGGAAGCTGCGTAGGCGGCAAACCTGGCGTATCCGGTCTTGGCCGCGATGCTGGCTATGTTTACTATAGAGCCCTCGGGTACTTTTCTCTTCAGCATCTCCCTTACAACAGCCTGGTTGACGAGGAATGTGCCCTGAAACAGAAACGAGCGTGTGTTTTCCAGAGTGTTGTTATTTACGAGTAGTTTTCCGTCATTCCGGTGTTTATCGCATTCTTTGAACTCTTCAATGTGTGTTTCTGCAATTTATTTCTTACGGAGATTCAGCCTTGTCGTTGAGAATACTCGGTGTTGAAAAACGAATCGGTGTTTATCGGACATAATAAAAAAGAGGACAAGAGAGTTGGATTCCGTACCTCCAGAGATCATGCTGCACATGAATCGACTACATTAAAATTGTCTTGTTACCAGTAAGAGAAGAAAACAAAATGGTTAGTGGTCTTTGCAGAAAGAAGTTTCCTCACAGATAGGTTAAGTGAGAGCAGTATTCCGGGTCAACACAAGATTCAGCGGAAAATAAAAATATATTAAAGTTTGTTATTTCCTTCCTAAAGAATTGGTTGAAATCGGAGATTCTTCGTTTCCCCAGATTTTAGCACATTCGGCTCGGGAGTTAATTCTTGAAATTTATCGGTAAATGCAAAAAAAAAAAAAAAAAAAAAAAACATGCAACTTTTGACGTTTTATACCAACCTTGAGGTTCACTCGCAGCAGTTCATCGTAGTCGTCTTCTGTCATATTCACGACGGCGCACTCTTTGGCAACACCAGCGCAGTGCACCAAGATGCTCAAAGGACTCCGGCATTGAGATCCGACGCTGTCCACGAGGGAAGTAACGGAAGACGAATCGCCCACGTCCACGTGAAGAGCCATGTGAGATTCACCTGGTAAATAGGGAGCACCATGTTTAGCCGCAGGTTAGATGTCACGTTATCAATATGACAAATCTGAAAGGTTTGACACATGTTCCCCGTTTGAACCCTCTGGTACATGAGAAAAATGGACCTTTGGCTGGTGTGTGATAGGTGAGTAAGAAAAAATCTAATTCCACTTAAAATGAAGCACAAGATCGCGTCTTCTAGGTGCACCGTTGCAATGATGCGCTTGGGTTAAGAAATCATCCCGTGACCTTTTCTAGAGCAGTTTAGCACTCTAAAAACTAAGCTAACCACGAACTAGCTGCCATTAAAGTAACCAGATGTAAGAGTTGCCATGAGTCTTGAGGTTATTCACGGCAAGAGAACGTTGACATTTAATGATTAAATTGGTGGCACACCCTACAGTATTCACGCCGGGCTTACAATTTCCAACAGCAAGAATTTGTCGGCTGATACAGAAACGTTCATGTTGTATATGCAAGCCCCTAGTATTGGCAAACAGGATCTAAAATATATCAGCAAAACTTTGTTATAACGTTATAACTATACTCGTTTTACGATATTTAATATTATAGGTGTTTCCAAACGGCCAGTACAATCAGGCTGGCCTCATTAATAATTAGTACGAAGTAACGCAAAATCATTTCAGCAATTTTTCTATTATTGAATAAGCATGTTAAGGTACACAGTCACAAACTTTGACAAACATTAAAACAGACCAGGGACCAGTTTGTGCTGTATATCTAGCGGTATAGGGTGGCCATTTATAATTACACCCATCTTTAACAAAACGTGTTTTTTTACATGATATCTGACAGCATACGAATCGTCAGCACCTGAGTCATCATTTTCTGTTCAAGAATCATCAGGAAACAAAACAACTATGGGATAAAACACGTACCCTTCCCTACGAAAACACGTACCCATCCCTACATCGCAACCCCTGTGGAAAAAGCAGACGGACCTGCGCTCTGCATAGGCAGATTTGTACGTAACGCGTTGCTATACGCCATTACCTTTTTCGGTCGCGAAGTAGTAATGACCTCTATGCTTATTAAGAAAGAACAAGTGACGTATATTTGTTACATTAATAATGAAAAGAAAAACAAGTAACGGTATCTAGATCTTTTCTGAGTGTGGTTTCTGCAACACATATACCCTGCCTAGTTCCCACCCCAACTCGAGCCTAATTTCCACGACGAGAAAACGATAGACAGACCGTAAAATTTGTGCATAACGTACGTCAGTTTGGCCTCAGTTATCCCAAAACAAACGCGTTAAAAATTAAGTACATATTAGTGACGACACATATTTGACGCGGCAACGTTTTTATAAAAAGGACGCATTAAGCGAAACAAGAAAGTAACGTAAAATAGTTTGTTGTTGGGCGAGTTGGTGAACGTTTGGATACATGGTTTTGCGCAAAAAAGACGGACACAAGAGAGAGTGGCACTCGTGTCTGTTTCTCTCTCTTGTGTTCGTCTTTTTTGCTCAAAACAATGTATCCAACAAAGTAACGCGTTCTTTTCAGCTGACGTAAGCCGTTACACCTGAATCGCAGTGACCCGTGTTTCTAATTCATTTAATACGTGCCTAATGAAGCACGTATTGATTGAACTACAAACAACGGTGTTTAATTACATCATTTCCGTATCGTGTGCATGCCTGCCTATAAGCACTGCTAATTTTTTAGAGCCCTCACCAAACCGAACATTACGTCACCCTCTTACACAAATTGAACCTTAGTTGATAATTATAGCCGGATATAATTTCCGTCCAAGGCACAGCGAATTGTCCCTTGTATTGTATACCACCTCTCCTACGATCTCTAAAGTTATCAAAAGTATAATAAAAGCATACAGACGCAAAACAAAACTAAATAGTCCCCAAAATGGGACTAGACTCCGACTCGCATTAAATTCGACGGTAGTCAAAAGCTACGCTGGAATGAAGTAAAATTGAGCAGTGCGAAAAGTTCATAATTCAACTTCTTGCCCTCGCGCGTCTGACGTCAACGAATGAACGAATCACACACAAAAGAATGTGCAAAATCACGCTCATTTGTTGTTCTTGATTGGTTTAGTCGGTAATAGCAAATACACACGAACGACGAGCACCATGACAATGCAGTTTTTGGTGCAGTTTGATTGGCTTCGTCGAATTGCAGCATTGGGAGAGGCCCAACTCCGATGTCGAACGGTCTATAATGAGATCGGTTCTGTAATTTGAAATGCGTACTGGCGCCGAACAAAAAATGGGTGTCCTAAATACATACACACCTTTCAGCTCGGCAACCGTTGCTCTCGCAGCGTCCAGGTTGATGTCGGCCGCCACGATCGTTGCCCCGTCCTTCGCCAGTGCATGGCAGACCGCTTTGCCAATGCCGCTTCCACCGCCCGTGACGATCGCCAGCCGATTCGAAAGGGACATCTTCGGCGGATGTTTCGTGGATGCTGACTCTGTAAAATACCAGCGTTGGACTTCTGAAACGAACGCCACTCTCTGCGCGATATCTCTGTTGTGTTCTGGCGGCCTTGTCGACTCCGTCGGCAACAGCACAATCGGAAACCAGTTTGGCGCCGGGGAGGGATACTTTAGTGAGAGAAACACATATAATCACGGCCCCACACGGCAGGAAAATAATATTAAACGAGAATCTCAAATAGCAGTCACCGCTCGCTCTTGCTTGGCTTCGTGCAATTTTGTTGGTAACGAAAAAAAAATTTTTTTTTCGGTTTTAGGGCTTGGTGTTTTAGGTGGGAAATTAGGGTGAATGAGGAGTCACTCTCTCCATCATATACGCGGGAACTATTTAGAACACGGTAAGTATTCTGCTGCATAAGTCGTGATACCAGTTAGAATTACTGGTACACACTGAAGTTGCATATTACAGTCATTTAAAGCGGTAATTCCACTACCTATGGACTTCCGTTCTTCTTTGAACATATCTTACATTAATGACGTGTTGCTCACGTCGTTGTTTTTTTTTTCTGGCCTGTCCCATTTGAGAATTGCATGTACATTTTTTTACGTACGTCAATGTTTATGTTATGGGGCTGTTCTATCGTTTTTTTTTTTTTAATTATTCGTATCACAGCACACTCACTCCTGGGTATAAAGATAATACGTGTTATGTTAATTCATTGTTACAAACCTTAAATCATTAATTTATTATTCGTTTTATTTTTTAAGCTTTTAAGTCTATCATTTTCATTACAAATGTAATATTATAGTGAATGTTGTCATTCAACATGGGAGGCGGAAGGTTGAATTTCATGACCACACTATTCAAGAAATGGAGTACTTAAATCGCCAGACATACTGAACCTTTAAAGTACACTTTAAATTATTACGCTCTTTCTTTCTTCGTTCTGACAACGGCGGAAATCGCACTCGTGCTTTACGTAGAGCATATGGAAAAACAAGAAAACGTTTTACAACAAAGTTTACTTTCATAAAACTTGCACAAAAGAAAAACAAAAAAAAAACGAAAAACAGAAAGAGGAAACTCTGGACATGGTGTAAAAAGAGTCCCGAGGCCACTCAGGACAATGCGTGTTCTGTCTGTCGTTTCTTTTTTTTTTGGAAAACATATGTCTGAATTAGAACCATCTAACCCAACTTGCAGTCCTAAGAATGTTTAAACCTACTGATGTAGCACCTATTTAATTAATATTTACTGAAAATGACTTTTTTAACATTTACTGCTTCAATGTTTAGTTTTACAAACTACTCGAGAAGATGAATTTTGAGGCAAGTTTTAGAACATAGATTAAAATGAACTCCTTGCCATGTAGTCTTCCTTGCAGCGTGCAATAATTAAACATTGTACAAATTACTACCATTAGACTTTTCCAGTTGCACGGCAGTGAAAACTCTGGCACATAATTATGACAAGAAAGCAACCGTATAGGCTGCCCTATTTTCCTGAACTGTGTACTATTGTTTACAAATTTAGAATCGCCATTATTAGCGCGCAACAGTATCGTCATTCGAGACTTGAAATCGTGCTCTCAAGGCCAAGTGGCAATACTCCATGAATTTAGTGCCCACCGATACCGCTGGATGCACCACCGACACGAGGTTAAACCTAACTTACCCTTGATGTATCTCAAGGCTATAGGCTTGAGTTCGTTCATGATAGAAACCCGAAAACCGAGCTAGATGAAAAGTCAGTTGACGTCTTCAGACGCTGACAAATTTCGAGTTTGTTGCCATTAGTGTTTTTTTTTTTTTTCTTCTGATCCCTTACTATATATGGACAACGTCACGCTCACCAGATATATATAAATTTCTGGCTATGACGTTGTTAAATTTAAAAATAAATGCACGTGCTAGTCAGGTCGCTGTTATTTATAGCGGTAATTAAAAGTAAATTATACACTTTTTTTGTTTACTTAAACGGAAAAAAAACATTCATAAGCATCTACATTAAATGCGAGCATTTCACGACTTTCATGTTTGAGATCTCATTATGTGTCGTTAATTGCGAATTCCACCGGTCGTTTTGGAGCGTGCTAGGATCCGTAGACCATATCCGAAATAGAGCAGGCGATCAAAACGGAGTTGCTCCGCCTCCAAATTCCCATGGAGAATATGACGACTCCCCCGGGATTGGCGGAGGCCTTCCCGTTATTCACCTTTCCGTGAATCCCTTTTCCCCTGCCCCGGATCTCGATGGACATGTTCTCACAATCGCGGCGCTAACACCACGTGTTTAAAGTACAAGCGAAGTTAATTATGATATGAAGCCCTTGCCGAAACGCGATGAGTATCAACGTAACCAACTTGCCTCTTTAGCGGATTAGCTCTGACCGATGTCAAGGTACGTATCGAATTTCGGCCTCTTTTGCGGAGGTCCTAAAAGGCAGTCGAATTTGTGCGGGAAATACAAGCAATCCACGTCGTCGCTCCAGATTGAGCCGCTGCTGCAGGTGGATCAGCTCGAGAAACTTGACGACGAGCTGTCATCAAGCAGCAGCGGCAGTAAAGCGGGCGGCACTTCGCCAGCGGCCATTATGAATTCTTCCGAGCCGAGACCAGCGAGATGCCCGGCCAAAAATGAAGTCACGTGTGTGCGTGCGCCCAGTGCTGGCTAGACTGGCTCCAGGTCAAATCCGCTGAAATCGGCGGAGCCATTTTTGTCGGTTCTCGATCGTGATCTGGAGTGGGAGCTGATCCAAATCGACGAGCTGAATTCGTCCTAGATTCCAATTATCCAGTGAAGTAGGCGAGCTCCAGAAAATTCGATCCCGGCGCGCTCTAAAACGACCATGGAATGAGCCATAAGATATTGTTTGAGTACGCTTTATCTTTTCAGCTGCGTTTAATTTCGTAGTCAAAGATGGTGTAGAAAAAAAGTATCGAATTTCAGAGCGTCGGTAATGTCCATTTGTTAAAGCTAGGCATATTGTCCCAAAACATTTGCGTGTTAGCTTGCTTTTCAACTAATCTTAATTTTGATGTCGATCGTTTCAGTAATATGTTGATTTTTTTTTCATTAAAAAAAGGAACAGATACATTTGTATTGTCAATGGGTGTCTTTACTCCATTGAAACACCTCATGTCGACCATGTCGAGATAATTCATCGGATATTTTCTAAGCGAACGCCGTTTATTTATGCTTACCTACACCTTTATAACCCTTGTACTCTTACCGCGTTTTGGAAGCAACATATCAACGCTTGCAACTGTTACTTTTTTGCTAGCTATATTTTGACGCTGCTTGACGTTAGGGTAGCTGATTACAAAAGCCAAATTTACATAAATACAAAATTTACATAAATACAGAATGCATAGTGCCTCATTCGACGATTGCTTTCTTATAAGCACTGCATTTCCTAACTAGTTACAAGTGTTAGATCACGTAAGCCAATACCGCACCCTACATCTAAAACCCATAAACGTTGCTGAATCAATATTTTGAATAAGACAAAATTCTACTAACCTGAAAAGGGACTCCTCGTTTCTAAAATCCTTCTTGTAACTCCTGATTGCGTCTGCGTATGGACAATTTCTGGCGACTTAACCCTCTTTATTGTTGCTTCATATATATATACGTAGCGCTGAGAAAAAAGAACGGATATCGGGAAGAGCAGTCTTCCAGAAAGGAACGAGAAGATACAGTTTCATTTTTTTTTTTTTGTTATATGCGTTCAAGTGGAAACGTAGATAAATTCATTCCTCTCCATTATCAGTCGAAAGCATTTCACTTTGGTGGTGGCAATGACTGTCTTTTTATGGGACATTGTTTTCATTATCGCATCACTAGAGGTTTAGATAAAGCAAGGTAGTGTTTAGGGCCTTTTTGTTTGCGCATGCTTCGCTTTATGCTATGACCGATTGCAAGAATCCTGCTATATATAGCCTGAAGCAAAGGGATCGATGGCTGCTTGAAGGGTCCGGATCAACTGGTTTGTGAACATTTTGAGCTATGAATATCTCGAGATGTGACAGAGAAACCTGCGTTAGGGGTATTAGAATTGCACTGAACAGAGTTGCCGTTGCAAGAAGTTAAACTGAAAAATGCCAAATCCCTACCTATGGTGGCTGTCTGCTAAAGAAAGGTGTTTGCAGACTTGAGAACGTTATTAAAAGTAAGTAGGGAATTCAATATAAAATTTTTCAAGGCTGAATTGTAAATATTTACCATTATAGTTGCCCGTTTATAAAAAATAAGTGACCGTTATCCCGAAATGTAATCCGTTACTTTCGTGTCGTTATTTCCAACATTATTGTCCCCAAGTAAATAACGTAGGAAAGAGGGTTGTTTAAATGTTTGTTGTTACCAACTCTTTGCAATATTGACCTTGAGTACTCTGAGCAGCAGCGGTCTCTCGTAAGTCTGGTCAAACATCTTTGCATCATTTCTTATTGAAGATGTCGACTGCTGCACTGGATACCCTTTCAACTGAGGCACTGAATGGGAGCGCCACATTGTGCCTCACAAATGATTGATGCTTTGTATTGTGCTTCCTCAGCAAAGCAATGGAAGCAGTCCTTACCCTTAAGATGATGCAGAGCTTCTTCGTTCTAGCCGGTGCCTGATACTGTCGCAATTGCAAAGCTCTGAAGAGATCGAGCCTCGGCTGAGGAGTTCATGCCTAAGAAATTAAGAAACAAGACAACAACAATTAGTTAGAACATCGGTGTGCCTTTTTATCTTGTTCAAAAACGCACGGAGCACGGGCCGGCAGTAGCGTATTTCTATAGGCTCCTTGCACTGACGTCACATCGCATACTTTTGAACACATGTAAAAGGGCGAGAGGGAAGCTGCTTTCGTAAGAATTTTGAGTGACAGGTTAATCGTCTATAATCTTTTGGGAGAATAGCGACGCCTGTGCAAATCCGGGAGGCACAAAGGAGGATCTTGATAAGAGGGGGAGCTCCTTCTTCCCCTTTTCTCTGGAGGGCATCAGGAATGACGTCATGTGCAAGCCACCTATGGGGACCTTAGTGTTACTCAGGTTTTATATATACTTCCGCTGAGGCAGCGCGCAGCGAAGGGCAGAGACCTCACGAGTTTCACTCTCTCCACAAGCCCAGAATCTCAAGCATAAGTCATCTATAATTTTGTTTTATTTGAAAAAAAAAAAAAACTGTTTCAGATAAGATGTGTCCTGCTGGGGTAAAAACAGGAGAACAAAAACGAAAGAGATCATTACCATTTCCGATGTGCTCACAAGATGTTGACACAAGAAGAGTGGCTGGGGCACAGATAACTTGGCTGGAAGTGGAATTCACAAATAAAGAGGGCCGATCCCAGAATTTGGATTACGAAGAAAATAAGTAGCTTTTAAATCATGGTCGAATAAGGTGAAAAGAAGCAGAAAAAAAAAGAATCCTGTTTTATAGGAGATAATAAGCGTTTTAATACTTTTTCTGCAGCAACGCATGAGGATGCTTGTGGCAGTAACACCTTCGCTTACTATACCATCGCTTTTAGTTAATGTTATCGTCTACGGAGCGTTCGCGTCTGTTGTAGCATTATAAAAATGATCGTAATCACTATAACCGAGAGCGATACTGCTAATTATTTTCTGTGCACTTAGTACCTCTAGCTTCTCGTAGAGGCCCACACTCAATAGGTGTCTTCGATCGGAAAGAAAAAAAGAAAAGGACTAAACAAAGCGAATATAGCTTGCCCCCCCCCCCCCCACCCTTTTTTTTTTTTGCACATATTTATTTGAATTTGTGGACCTTGTTGTTAGCGTCTAAAAAAAAGACATTCAGGGGCTTGGTGTCGTAAAGAAAGGTTCTGTTGAGCCGGAGAGCGTTAAGCTTTCCTTTGCGCCGGGCAATGCGCCTTACTGCCCTCGACTTTACCGATATGAAGACAATTCATTTTTCGAGGGGGGGGGGGGGGGGGGGGGTTAAGTATGTAAGGATTAGAACGAATCCGTTAAGTAACTATACAAGGGAATCATTTTACAATTACTCTAGCAATTATGTCATTATTTTGTAACTAATTTATTGCCAAGAATAAAACTTGTTGTTGGCCTAGTTGGTTCATGATTTTCACCTTTTTCCCTTTTATGTAGCGTGCTGCGCATGCTCTTTCTGGATATTCGTGGTTAATGGGGCCAGAATAAACTAGTTGAAAGTTTATGCTTCTCCGTGTCTACTCCCTTGTGATTGTTCCTTGTGTCGCGTAAAAAAACTTCTAGTAGGGGTTTACACCTAATATCGTTACTTTTAACGGATGACAGACAAGTCAAGGTGTATGATTGGTGCAACAGCCGACAGACGGAGGCACGGAAGATCGCAGGAAGCGATGCGCTCTTTTTCAGCACAAATTGTCAGAGCTTGACTGTCTTATTCTAGCAATAAAACAAAACAAAAATAAAGATAAGACTAAAACAAAAAACAGATATGTTGTCTGAATAATTTTTTTCGACAATTAATTTTGGCTACGTGTCATTTTATGATTTGCACTCTCTGGATGTTATCGGGACTCTTGCGTTGTCTGCCACTTTCATCCTTGTTTCTTGAAGGTGTAATTGATCTTCATGGTGCGCTTAACTAACAAGGAACGAGTGAAGGTTGTTTTTTGTCACGGGGAGCGCTAGAGGAGGAAAGAGGTCCGCCGACGTTTTCGGGCAGACCTTCGGTGGCATTTTTGGGCTCCCCTACAATTCTACGCTGGGTGAGGTGCGCCTCAACAATGAGGAAAGCCTCCAAAAACAAGCCACCGACCAACAGCGGTGTCGTCACCCAAGCTGGCGCTAAAAAAAAAAAAAAAAATGCAGTACTCGCGGTGCTTTCGCTGCCGTCCCCGTACTTGTCGACTTGATGAGAACTGCAACTGCCGATATCTATCGGCTGTTGCGCCAAACAGACGCCTTTGGTTAGAGCACACGCAGGGATTAGGGATTTCAAGTTTTTAAAGTCCAAATTTTTACACGGGAAAGTTTGTTTTTTGAATTTGTTATGCATTTAATTTATGTTTTTTCGGCCTTATCTGTGCAAAATATGAGCTTAATATCTTCAGAAACCGATTTATGCCGTCCCTTTAAGCAGCCATTGATCCATTTGACATACAGTGTATAATAACTTTCACTTTAAATCCGACCGCAGCTTACGCTTCTCTCCGATGGAGCAAATATTGCCGCGAGCGCAGCTGACCAAGAAGGCAGCACGCTCGTGGTCTAACGGTTATCGCGCGTCCTTTCCACGCTGAAAGCCAGGGTTCGATTCTTGGCCGCGGAGGCGCATTTTTGTTGACTCTGTAAAGTAATGTTCTGGTAAATTCAAGAACCATGTTGCTTGTTCAAAATCAGAATGTTCTACACGCCGAACCTTCTACGCCGAACGATCCAGAAACCCACAAGGGTACATAAGGGATTCCGCAAGGCGAGCGGAGTCAGTTTTCGCCCCAGCGTTCGACTGTGCTGCTACGCCTACTTCGACGCCCGCGACGCTCTGTTATTATCTTTGTACCCTTTTATTTTTGGCACAAGTTCGCCACATTAAACGTTTATTTCTTCCTGTTTATTTCCTGTTTTTTTTGGGGGGTCATCACCCGTGACATTTTTGGCGGAGGTGCGGGGTAGCGCATGCCCATGCAGCGTTCCCCTCCCAGGGCCCGCTGTGCAAGCCCGATTCCAAGCCCGGTGAGAAGACCACTCAACGCGGAACCTGAAACTCGGACCAGTCGCCGCACCCAAGGTCTACACCCGGATTACGGACTTGTGCCACCCCGGACCAGGCAGCCAACGAGGCCGACGATGGACAACCAGTCGTCGCAGAACCCGTCCGCCGCCGCCCTCGTATACCTTCCCGTCGCACCCCGGACTCCGACGCCATTCCACGGGGAGGTCCACGAGGACGTCGAAGATTGGCTGCAACATTACGAACGAGTTGCTCGCCATAACACATGGAATCCGGAGCAGTGCCTTCAGAACGACTACTTCGCTCTGGAAGGCACGGCACGCACCTGGTTCGAAAACCACGAAGCGTCGCAGCTTTGCCAACCAGCATTGACGACAGCGTGCCGAAGAACTCCTGCGAGCGAGAACCGAAGAGCCGACCGAAAGCGTCACGAGCTTCGTCAAAGACGTTCTCCACATGATGAATCGGGCCGACCCAAACGCTCCCGAAGAGAAAACGCTCCGGATCTTGATGCGCGGCGTCAAGGAAAACATTTTCGGAGGCCTTGTTCGAAGCCCGCCTACCACCGTTGAAGGTTTCATCACAGAGGCCACCAACATCGAACGTGCCCTTCAAGCACGCGCCGCCCACTATCACCGAGTCCCCGGCGTCGCTGACTTTTTATCTTCTGGCTACAACCCCACGGACATCCGCGAGATAATCCGGGACGTCGTGCGAGAGGAAATCAGGAAGCTGCTACCTGCAGCCACAAGCCCGGATACGCCCTCAGTCGCTGAGATTGTCCGGGAAGAACTTCAGCAGGCGCTGCAGCCAGAAGTTCTCGCCAGCGCCGCTCCTGAACCACCGAAACTGAGCTACGCCGCAGCTACCCGACGACCACCGCCCCCTGCTCACCCGTACA